AAAAAGGTTTTAGTGTTTATAATTCGGTTTAACAAGAAACAAATTTCATAGGATAGAGATAGATTAGATAATAATCAATAATAGTAGATATCTAAAAAATGGTTAACAGGAATTGCCTTTTCTGCATCGATCAACTTGAGTTTTTAACATAATAAAAAAATAATAAATAAAAAATAAAAATAATAAATAATTTTGCGAGACATTATCTTTCATTATATCAATATCAAATTGTTAATAATAATCAAATATGCCTATTGATCCTCATATGAAAAGGCCCGTCGAAAATAATTCATTTTTAAAATCAATAGCTAACAGCCGAGGGTGGGGAAGTCCTGACATTTTTAGTGTGAGAGGATCTGTAAGTATTCCATTATCACTATTTATTAATTGTATTTATTAATTGTATTTATTAATTGATAATTAACCAACTAATTATTTATTAATGCTATAGGTTATTGTTGCAATTATACCAATTGTTTTCTTTTCAACAATTATTTCTACTGTCGTAACTGTTTTGTATATTATTTTTGATAAAAAAAATATCACGCTATCTAATGACATAAGTACGAGAATTATAAGTTATCAAATACTATTATTATTATTATTTAATTTTTCATTAATTTACTAAATAATGATAAAATTTAATTGCTTTAGTTGGATCTATTGCTGTTGTCGTTGGTCTTTTATTAGGTTTTCGTACAAACAATGCTTACGACAGATATTATGAAGGAAGAAGACTTTTTGGTAGTTTATGGTATTTTTCATTTAATTTTTTATTATTATTCTATAATAATAATAATGATTATGATTATGATGATGACGATAATGAAATCTTTTGAATTTTAATTAGTAATCAAGTTCGTAATGTTTCTCGTCTTACTTGGACTGGTATTAAAGAAATTCAAAATCCTCATGATCATAATGAAAAAATTGCTACTGTTAAGATGTTATTAGCATTTGTTGTAGCAGTCAAACATCATTTGAGATTGGAATTTGGTACAGAATGGTCTGATTTGGAAGATCTCCTTCCTGTAAAATTTCAAAAGACAATATTTGATGGAAATGCAGGACAAGAAAATACAGATTTAGGAGCTGGAGGTGAAGAAGATCCTAATCGTCGTGACTTGCCACCAAATGAAACAATTATATACAATAGAGTTAATTATCGTGACCCAGATGCAAGCATGAGTTTGCCCTTGGAAATAGTTTTTTATTTGGATGCATATTACGATAGACAAGTTCTTGATGATAATAAAGAAAAAAAAATTAGTGGGGCCACATATGGTTCTGTATCTGGTTCTTTAAATACTTTAATTGATCTTTTTGGTAATTTAGAAAGAATTAGCAACACCCCAATTCCATTTGCTTATAGAATTCACTTGTAAGTATTAGTAGTAATAATAGAGGATTGATAATATATTATTATGATTTGTTGTTGTTGAAAATATTAAGGAAGCTTTCTTCTCGTTCTCTCTTATTTTATTAGGAAACAAGTTGTAACCATTTATGTTTGGGTTCTTCCATTCACTCTTGTTGAAACACTTCTTTGGCTTACAATTCCAATTGTTATGTTGATTGCTTTTATTCTCTTTGGTGTTGAAGCTATTGGTAAGTTGGGATTTGTTTATCTTGCTTTTCTTTAAAAAATAAAAAAATAATTTAACATTATTTATTATTTAAATGAATCTATACTAGGATCCGAGATTGAAAACCCATTTGGTAAGTTTTTATTTAATTTGTTTTTTTTTAGGATAAAACAAAAAATTAACAAAAAAATTTTTTTAATAACAGGTTATGATAAAAATGACTTACCATTAGACGAATATTGCAGGGTTAGTTTATTTCAGGGGTTTTTTATCATTTTTTGTAAACATGTATCTTCAAAATAGTAATATTCATTAATAACAATTAATATAGGATTTGGAAGCGGAAATTCAATATGTGCAAAAATACTTTCCATCAAACGTCAAATAAGCAATTAAAATAAATTATTTAACTGTTTTTTTTTATAAAATATAAATATATTTAAATAAAATGACTTATTATAACGTTCTTGATTAATCGATAAATGAGTGCAGTACGGCAGGGTTGGCAATAGACCAGGTCAATTGAGTCCAAATGAGTTTTGATCGGGTCCATTGGTCAATCCTGTGATATAGTGGATTGATTTATATGGACGGGGGTGTCCAGGATTATGCCAATTTTGATTTAAATATAACTGCCTCAAAAGTAAAATTTTATTTGCCGTGTGATACTTTATAAAAATTTCGAGATTTTCTAAACCTAATTTAAAAAAAAAATTTTTTTTCTTTTTAAAAAAAACGACAAAGTAAGTTTTTTTTTTCTTTACCAATAAAATTTATACTCAATGATGAAACAAAGCAATTTATCAATAGCTGGAATTACCGTCTGAATCTCAATGTCGAAAGATAATTGCACCATTAATATTTTCTGAGAAAGAAAAAAATTTTTTATCTTTAAAAATTTTTTTTGTAAATAAACAGACTCTAATAAATGATTTTTTTTTTTTTTTCATATTAATAACATTAGAACTCTTTGAAGTTCTAGAGGATTAATGAAATAACGAATGTTGGAACAGAAAACTGATGAATTCTTTTTTTTTTTTTTAGTGAATAATAAATAACTATTAAAAAAAATCTTATTTATTATTTCAGTTTGATTATCTTTTTCTCAACGTTTCTTTTGGCTTTTTTTCCTTGAGTTTTTGATATCAATGATTTATTAACAGCATTATCGTTATTTTGTGATTCTTCATCGTCTTCAACTTCTTCATTTTCTTCTTCCTTTTGCCTTCCAATCAACGGGATTTTACGAAGTTGACCAATTGGATATAAATCTGGAATTTTATCAACTATTTACAATATGTTTTTAATTAATGAATAATTATAATGTTATTGTTATTTCCATTAATGATTGATTTATTTACTTGCATAGATCCATACTTGTTAATTTGAATTAAGAACTTTTTTCATATTGGTCATTATCCCATTCCTTATAAATAAAGTTATTAATTCATCATCATCATCATCATCATCATCATCAACATCATCAACATCATTTAATGAATTTGAACCTTCAAAGATCGTATGCAATATCGAGTGGATCAATACTTGAATATAAAATTGTTTTAAATCCAATAGATTGATTAATCTCGTTCCAATTCAATATTACTATTCCAGGAAATTTTTCTATAACCAAAGTGATGTGTTTTGAGATTGAACTACTTGTGATTGTAGTCGCAGTAAATTGTACTCTGAAGTTGATTTTTTTTTTCTATAATTTACAAATATTAAAATGTCAAAGAATCATCAATAATAAATTAATACATTGTATAATTTTTATGCATACATATAGGCATAGAACAATAACAACAACAACAATAATTACTTGATTTCAATAATAATTTTAATGCTTGAAGATTGTAACAGTCTTCCTGAAACATATTCCCACAATAAAATATAATCACCACCTGCTGACAACAAAAAAATCAGTTGACCAAGGTAATAGATAAAAAACTGCAAAAAATACTTTGATTTGAAACAACCAAGTACATCATTACAATTTCTTAATTGTATATGCTTCCTAAACAATGTGATTCAATATTATAACCTTTTGGAAACCTGCTGACTCTTACGTGTTCATCACGATCAGCTGTTATAACAAATTTATTATTAAGTGTTAAAATTAGAGATGGGCAAATGTGCGTATAGTTGAACACTACACGATACTATACATATAGTGCGTATAGTAGTGCAGCAATTAAATCTTTATTTAATTTATTCAACTTCTACTTTTTTATCTTTTTATATTAAAGATTTGATTTATATATTTAATTGAATTATTAATTATATTGAATTGTAAAAATCAAAACTTTGATTTTTCAATCAGTTCGATGGCATTTCATCAATTTCTCAATTACGTTGTAATTTATCTGTATACTAGTATTTTAAGTATCAAAATAATTTCTTTTAGTTTGGATTGTAGCATCTGACAAAGGCGTAAATGGTTTTCACATCTAGATACTGAACTAGTACATTGATATTTTTGCAATGTAGACATTCAAAATGTAATTACTTATAACATTAACATTACCAATATGTTTAAAATGTTGCCAAATTGCACTTTGGCAAAGTCATTATAAGTTTAAAATATATCTGTATATTGTGAAATTTAATTTTCAATTAAATTTTTACGTGTTGATTTTACATTTACTACTATACGTATAGTACTGATATGCACATCCCTAGTTAAAATCTCTTTCACTCAAACACAAATTTATTCGTATGTTTTTACCATATCAGTAACTATTGAAACATGACCTAATAATAAGTCTACAGCATTCTGGTCATCATTTGATGTGTTTATTGGGTATCTTGCAAAAGAAGGAAAAAAATCAAGAAAAACTCTAAGAAGTTTTTGAAAAACAACAATCAATTAACTATGATTTCTCCTTCTAACAATAATAATTTATCTAATCCAGCGTTTAACTACCTAATAAACATCTCGAAATTTGTCTACTGTAATGATTTGTGATCCTTGAAAATTGAATGCAATTGAGACTACACGTTTAGGCACGGGTATATATAACATCATATATCAAAAGATCATATCATATTTAATCCGGTTCAATTAGATTTTCCATTCAATTATTACTGATATGCACATCCCTAGTTAAAATCTCTTTCACTCAAACACAAATTTATTCGTATGTTTTTACCATATCAGTAACTATTGAAACATGACCTAATAATAAGTCTACAGCATTCTGGTCATCATTTGATGTGTTTATTGGGTATCTTGCAAAAGAAGGAAAAAAATCAAGAAAAACTCTAAGAAGTTTTTGAAAAACAACAATCAATTAACTATGATTTCTCCTTCTAACAATAATAATTTATCTAATCCAGCGTTTAACTACCTAATAAACATCTCGAAATTTGTCTACTGTAATGATTTGTGATCCTTGAAAATTGAATGCAATTGAGACTACACGTTTAGGCACGGGTATATATAACATCATATATCAAAAGATCATATCATATTTAATCCGGTTCAATTAGATTTTCCATTCAATTATTTATAATCTAAAAGTATTTGTCTAAACAATATGCCTCGAATTTATCAACTTCTAATTGTCGAATTTTCAATAATTTATCTTCACCACTTGAAGCCATTAAAGATTCATTATTAACATCATCATCTGCTGATTTTTGATAAAATTCAATTGCTCCAATTAAAGTTTAATGTGCGCCAGTTGAATTTCATTGTTACAGTAATCAACATTTGTTACACTGCAGATTTTAATAAAAACAAAAAATTTGTACAATCCGTTTGTGAATGTCGTTAATGAACGATTTGTGGGGTGCATTTAAAAATTCAACATCCATCATATTTCTTAGAATTGGTTGGTATTATTAGAAACAATCGTGTTACACTTCTTAAAAGGATTACTAAAAATTGGGTTCTCTTTAATTTTTTAGTAACTTTTGGGGAACTGACTATAATAATAAGGCCAATTATCACATGACTTGGACTATTATTAGAATTGATTCAGGAGAGAAGATAATAAATAAACCCCTTTTTATTATTTATGGAAAATATATTCAATGAAAAATTTTCTATCTCTAGTCTTTTATTTCTTTATTAAAAAGACAATTATTTAAATTATTTAATTTAAAAAGTGTAGTTTTTTTAACGTGTTTAATGATTTTATGAAATTAAATTTTCAATAATTTTAAATAATAATAACAAACATAACGAAAATAATATTAAAAAAACTACACTTTTTAAATATGTGGTGCGATAATTGTCTTTTGTTTTTTCCTCTACGGACCGGTGCAATGATTTTAGGTGTAATATCAGCGGTAAATATATAAACATGTCATATAAGAGAATAAATCTCAAAAGCATATATGCATAGACACACATATTTACATGCAAATTAATATATACATGTATGTGAAGCCCAATTAATTAATTGGTGTCGTTTTATGATATCTGATTGATTAATTAAAAATTTAGCTGTATCAATTTGCCGGTGGAATATTTTTATTTAAATATGGAGGTGTGAAAATTATTAATTAATCAATCAATTAATTATATCTCCACATTCCATAATAATTAATTGTTTTGATTTTTTTGTAGACTTTTTCTTTTTCCATTATCCCGAAGCACAAATTTATGGCGGATTTGCCATGGCACAAGCATCCATTGCAATTATAGCAGTAATTGGTTTCTCAATGGTAAATAATTATTGATTTTTTTTTTTTTTAGTTTTTTGCAATTAATTAAACTATTAATATTTATATTTCTTTTATTTATTTATAACTAGAAATCATATTTAAATGGTAGAGTAATATTTAAAATATATCCAATAATACTATTTTTAGGATCAATCAGAGCCGGAGTAATGGCATGGAGTTTGCAAAAATATAAATATCGTATTGTATGGACTTGTAATAATGGTGGGGTTCAATGGACGGATCCTGACTCGCCTGATTATACACCACCATTACTTGATTCTAACAGATTGCCTCTCGGATTTTGTAAAAGTGGTGTTGATAATTTTGTTGCAATTTTCACTCTTTTCTTGTTATTTGATTTTGTAATAATGGTAAAGATCAATTAATTGTTTGATTTTGCAATTGTTTTATTCGCTCACTTGCTTATCCATCTATCCATTTTATAGTGCTATTTCTACTTCTTGATATGGAGAATTAGTGTCAAATTAAGATCTGGACTTTTTTATAGTGATTATTTTGTTTAATATTAATATTAAATATTATATTAAATATTAAACATAAAAATTGGATATGAATCATATTTTTAAAGACTATTTTTATCATCTCTAACAACACGCATGTATGTATATGTATATATATATGTATATATATATATATATATATATATATCACGAATTTAAAATTTTTTTAACTTAACTCCACATTTCATCCAACCTTTTTCACAACTTAATGATAATGATCGAGTCGCCACTGAAACTTTTCAATATATTATTATTATAATAATTAATGTATTGTATTTATTTATTAATGTAATGGATTATTATATTTATATTTATTATTTTTATCTTATATTTTTTGTAAATTTATTGTTAATAAAATACTAACGGGAATAAATGCAGATACAGACATCTCAAGATTTTATTAAGTAAATATAGGTGTGCCTCTAAGTAAGTTATACACCCCAAATTACATATGACAACCTTATTAACCTGAAATGAAATCCGAAGATAACAATTTTCAGCAAAAGTAATTAATGTCGTGGTGTCAGTCTTGCTAAAGAAATGGTTGATTTAGATGTAGTATAATGTTTTCTGGAAGGAGAAAAAAAAGATTTGTGGTGAATTTCCCTTTGATCACTTTCTAATCCCAATTTAAAATCTAAAATCTTTGTGTAATTTTATTATTATACTTGTTTTATATATTAAATAAGAATTAATTATTGCAGTATCCAACAGCCAGAAAAACATTGGCATCCGGGTTCTCCTAGTTTTCTGTTGAGTAGAATAATAGCTTTTCAATTGGTCTGCGATATCAACTCCTCCCATAAAAAGATTGTAAACATTAATTATTTTGGGAATAGGCAATAGTTTCCTTGTTGAATTACCAAAAATACTTCCTACTTTTGCACCATTTCTACTAGTTATTCTAGACTGGTGATGTAACTTATTAATTCTATTTTCATTACCAGTAGTCTCATGTATTGTGGATAACATTGTAACAGGACCATTGTCCATCCACAATGCTGCCAAAACGTCATCAACAACCACACCAGAAAGTGTATCACATTCTAAATTTTTATTTTTTATTTTAAGAATTGGTGGGAATCCTGGTGAATTGGTATGAACAGTTTCACATGCACCAATTCCTTTTTCATGTAAAAATTTAAATAATTTGATACTTGAAAAATAATTATCCATAAAAATATTGAATGCTTGATTGGATGGTAATTTTTTGATTAGATGATAAACTTGGTTTCCCATCTTATTGAGATGTTCAATTTGTTCAATTTCATGATCTTTTTCAATCCTGGAAGTGAACATGAATAAGTATAACCTGCATCACGCAAGGCCAAAACCTTATATCCTTCTGGAGTAGGTTTGTTCTTCATTCTAAATGTGTGTGCACTCCTGCCACAAAATCTAATGATCATTTCATCAACTGCAACATTAGAAGATGGGATGTAATAGTGTTCCATGTCGCAATCCAAAAAAGGAAACAAAATGGTTGTAAAGGTGGTTGCAATCATTTTTATATGACGCAAAGATGGTAGCAACCATCATCAAAAGTTGCAGCCGGTATCCTTAGGATGTAAATAGATTGTGATACATCATTTATGTGAGATGTTAATGGTTCAAGTTTGCCCTATAAAAATTTTTTCAGAAAATGTTTCCATGCATTTTGTATGGAATATGTATGGAATTATACATGAAAAATAATATACAAATATCCTATTACTGTTACTATCCGTTTAAATTATAGCAACCCGAATATCCATATTCATATGGGACAGGGATCGACTACATATATCCTTTTTAAATTTTTTTTTTTTAAAAAAAAAAAATCATTCGATTGAATTCAAATTACTTTAAAAAACAGTTTTATTAATCTAGAAATTCGAGTAAATAAAAATGGCAAGTTGGCAATGGTAAAGAAATCTCAAAATAATTATCATATGTTGAAAAAATCCAATGATTTTGAAGTTGATTATGAAAACAAAAGTAAAGGACATTCCTTGAAATATGGTCACAATGAACCATGGAAAAAATTGCAGGATTATATGGAACAACCAAATCATCCAGGGGAAAGAAACCCAAAGGTGTTGGTGTAAATGATTGTAGACCACCATATACTACTGAGGCCATTTTAAAGAGTAAATCATCTAATGATAATAAAAATTGAGATGTTGGCAATCATAAAAAAGAAAAACAAAAAGTAATTGAACTTTCCAAAAAATACCAATCATATTCACATTGGTAAACTCATGTAATATTACATCATTCTTGGAATTACTGTATGTGAACTACCTTCATGCAATTCCATGGTGGTCAACTAATGTCAGAACAATTACACATGATTCTGGATTAAAAAAATTATATATAAGTTTTACTATCTGAGATACTGTTAATACTCTAGGAACCAAAAATACAAAATCTACCTTCAATGAAGCCTGTGAAATTGTTCATTGCCATGTTCTAGAAAAAAAATGGCAAAAAAGATAATGAGTTTGGATCATTATCCTATTGGTTTGAAAGTATTATTTCAGAAGAAAAAGAATCAATAAAACTTATGACACGGTTTTGGATTGCAAATCTGGACATGTGAATCTGGACATGTCAAAGTAGCACCAACACCTATTAAACCATTATTTCAAATAAATGGAATTGATGATTTTGATAGCTCTCTTTTAAGAATAACCAAAACCTGATGGGACAAGTTTCTGCATTATTTGCAAAAAAGAATGAATTTATCAACAATACACTTCCAGACTGACCTTGTCCTTATAATTGTGCAAACCTTCATCATTGTACTAGCAGAAAAATATTCTACGAAGAATACATAATTTCTTTGCCATATACCTTGATATTTGAAATAACCCAAAGAGATGGTGCTGATTATAACTCGTCAGAACAATTAGACTTCCCTTTTCAGCTTTGTTATCAAGAAAATGAGATCACTATAGAATATACATTGACAGCACATGTATACAGCACATCATCAAGTGGACAGCATTTCTACAGTGAAGTAATTTGAAGCTTTGACAATCAAAGTGGTGTCTATAAGTATGATGGCTTAAATGAGGGGGCAGCTGTTGTAACAGTTCTTTCTCGTTCTTAATTGCGAATATGATGTGGCACAGTAATACAAAATTTATTTCGCGTAACTATAACGCGTTAAATTAAAACGAAACGTTACAACTTTACTTATATTATTGTTATATTACTTATTTATTATTACTTATATTATCATTTATATTACTTATATTATTATTATTTATATTATTTTCTTATGTATATGAGTTACAAATTAAGTGCTGCAGCTTTCTGGGAAGTTCTAAGATATTACTATGATTGATGATAATTTATTTATTTAATTGTAATATTATATTATGCATTTTGTATAAAAAGATAAGCTTTCCGTAATTAATAAAGATAACTTGTATTTTTAATAACAATTATATAGTATTTTGACGTAAGGAAAAAGGGTTTCCTTACAGAATTAATAAGATTAAACATTTTTTTATGAAAATAATATGCATACCCCCTCATACCTTTTTATAAAATCACTTATGAATTTATTACTTGATCATTTTTTTTAAATGATAACGATAATTTAAATGTTGTACATTGTACAGCATATGATGCACATCTCATAAATCAAAATGACTTTTGAATTGTTTGGCACACCAAATAGAATTGACTCTTTTTTTAAAAATCCAACGTGTGGATCACATAATACTTCAAATTTATGATCCGCACTGTATATTTTATTTTTTTGAATTTTTATTTTTATTGTATGTCTGTCTGCCTGTAAAATGTGACATTCTAATATTTCCATTACTGCATGCTGAAAATTTTGTAATGTTTCATAGTCAGACATACAATAAACCAGTTATTGAATGCAATAATCACGTCAAGAATGACTAAGAAATCGAGACCGGTCGTTAATATAGTGTTACTCGCGTGCCACATTCTGCATGCTCCGCATCCAATAACTCATATATATTAAAAATCTTGTGACAGATATAGTGTGTGATCCATATGACAGACGGATTTATTTTTTTTGCATAGAAACAGTTTCACTAAATCTAAATAGTAGTATCTTTGATACGGGTGATTTTTGCGGCCTATTTATCATCAACGATTTTTTCGTTATATGATTTGTTTTGAAGGAATAAAACAAGATTTGTTGAACTTTAGCCAACGCTCGAGCCACAACAGATCTTCAAAAAAATGAGAAGTTTTTACATAGTAAATAACAAATAACATTGATTGGCGTAGATATAAAATATTAACCCAAAACCTTCTAAATGGCGACTACCTCTATTGAAAAATCCTTTTTTGATTTTCATATTGTTTGCCATTTTTTCTATTGTTTTTATTGTTTTGTATAAATTTTTACAAAAATTCTAGTGTCATACATGTACATGTTTACATAACAATCTAACAAACACAGTTTTAATTAATTATAATTGGTAAATGTGTGTCCTGAAATTTTATATTGATATTCCTGATTAATGAATGATCTGCGAACTACTTATTGTGATAATTTATTTAGTTAGATTGATAGCATTAGTATCTTTGATTGTAATAAACAATTACAACAACAGAGGTTCTTCTTTTCATAAATCAAATAAATTTATTTGAATAAAAAAAATACTTACAGTACAATATATATAATTATCTTATTTGTTCATCTATATATTTGATTGTATTGATATGACTTCAACAAATCAAGATCAAGATCGTGTTCCTTTGCTATCGATAAATTCATTATCTCAAATTTATGATTCAATAAATTTACCGGATCAAATAATTCGATATCAAGCATTCATTCAAAAATTTCAAAGTCTATATAATAAACAGCCAAGTTTTATTGTAAGATCACCTGGAAGAGTCAATATCATTGGGGAGCATATTGATTATGCAGGGTTCGGTGTATTACCAATGGCAATAAGCCGTGATTTACTTATTGCTGTTTATGTGGTTGAAGATGAGAGTTCTGTGAAATTAGCTAATGTTGATAATGAAAAATACAAGACAAGGACTTGGGAATTTGAAGGTGATAACAATAAGATTGTAGAAATTAAACTTGAAGATGGTGTGGTTGAATGGAGTAATTATTTTAAGTGTGGATATAAGGTAATTAATTTGTATTAATTTATTTTATTGAAAAAAAAATTTTAAAATGACTTTTTAAAAAAATTTTTTTTTTAAAAAAAAAAGGGAATAATAAAATATCTTGGGTTAGAAAAACCCAAAGGGATGTATTGTCTAGTCGATGGAAGTATACCACCTGGTTCAGGATTATCAAGCTCGTCGGCTTTCGTTTGTTCTGCTGTTCTAGCAACAAGCTATGCGAATGGTACTGAATTAAGCAGGAAGCAAATCACAGAAATTTCAATAGATTCAGAAAGATTGGCTGGAGTAAATTCAGGAGGGTATGAGAAAAAAAATGGCAAAAAAGATAATGAGTTTGGATCATTATCCTATTGGTTTGAAAGTATTATTTCAGAAGAAAAAGAATCAATAAAACTTATGACACGGTTTTGGATTGCAAATCTGGACATGTGAATCTGGACATGTCAAAGTAGCACCAACACCTATTAAACCATTATTTCAAATAAATGGAATTGATGATTTTGATAGCTCTCTTTTAAGAATAACCAAAACCTGATGGGACAAGTTTCTGCATTATTTGCAAAAAAGAATGAATTTATCAACAATACACTTCCAGACTGACCTTGTCCTTATAATTGTGCAAACCTTCATCATTGTACTAGCAGAAAAATATTCTACGAAGAATACATAATTTCTTTGCCATATACCTTGATATTTGAAATAACCCAAAGAGATGGTGCTGATTATAACTCGTCAGAACAATTAGACTTCCCTTTTCAGCTTTGTTATCAAGAAAATGAGATCACTATAGAATATACATTGACAGCACATGTATACAGCACATCATCAAGTGGACAGCATTTCTACAGTGAAGTAATTTGAAGCTTTGACAATCAAAGTGGTGTCTATAAGTATGATGGCTTAAATGAGGGGGCAGCTGTTGTAACAGTTCTTTCTCGTTCTTAATTGCGAATATGATGTGGCACAGTAATACAAAATTTATTTCGCGTAACTATAACGCGTTAAATTAAAACGAAACGTTACAACTTTACTTATATTATTGTTATATTACTTATTTATTATTACTTATATTATCATTTATATTACTTATATTATTATTATTTATATTATTTTCTTATGTATATGAGTTACAAATTAAGTGCTGCAGCTTTCTGGGAAGTTCTAAGATATTACTATGATTGATGATAATTTATTTATTTAATTGTAATATTATATTATGCATTTTGTATAAAAAGATAAGCTTTCCGTAATTAATAAAGATAACTTGTATTTTTAATAATAATTAAAACAATTAGTATTTTGACGTAAGGAAAAAGGGTTTCCTTACAGCTGTATTAAAATCCAACGATCCAACCATTCTATCAGGATATAAGCACTGACTGTATTGGTTGCTTATAAATTAAATGATTTTAATAGTCATTCCATTTATTCTGATAGCCAAGCAAGTTAGTATTGTTTAAATAATTTTTAAATTTTTAAAAAAAAATAATTAATAATAATTACTTCCATTGAAATATCCACAGAAACTTTCATGGAAAATTAAATAATCATAATATAAACATTCCTGATGAAAAGATTCATTCAGGGATAGACTGTAAGTGGATTTTTATGAAAAAAGCTGGTTGTTTTGTCATCAATTGATTAATAATGTTGTATTTTTTCTAGCAATTGAATATTTCACTGATAAAAATCATCAGTATTTTAATGAAGGTAAAAATGAAGATGTAAGCTGATAAAAAAAATAAAAATTATTAATGACTTACTGTAATAGTAATTAGAAGCAAAGCCATGATCACACTCAATGAACAAGATAAAACCTATATGATTGAAATCAAGAGAGTGGTTCTGACATAGCAATTGAAATATGAAATGCAATATGGACATTTGTCTTGAGATAAATTCTTACCAGTCGCAGGACATTGCGGATTTACAGGGGGTCAAGTGTCACTCATATATAAAATTAATGATCTTTGTGCATAATTT